CCCGATGTCAAACATTCTTCCATCAATGGTAAAAGCGATTCTTCTAAACGTGCCAAATATTTGTTTGTATCCACATTTCCATCAATAAAATGAAATTTTCCTACTCCTTTTTATGACATACTGCTCCAGACCATCATGGATGCTGGAAATTCATTTATTACGACTAACTCCACTGCAACTGTCACCAACACAAACTTCGAATCGGGCCTCATCACTCCATTGTATTGCACACCATTGTTGATGTGTCCATTGTCTATGTTCTTTAGCCCATCTAAACCATTTTTTCTTTTGCAATGGAGTTAACAGTGGCTTTTCTTTGGCCTAAAAACAAGTTGTGCAACTTTAAGGTTTTTACTTCACTTTTTTTTACAGGAAAACTTACGTTGCAAGTGCTAAATCCCAGTTTGTGGGCCTCTCTATGAGTTTTGGACCTCGAAATTCTCCTTCCAACAGCGTCACTCCTCAGAGCACTTAATTGTAAATAATTGGCATGCCTGTTTTTCACGATTATTCTTCTTAATGCTCTTCTTTCGGCATTTGTGATATTACTTTTTTTTCACATATCATGGCTTAATATTAACTGAACCAGTTACGTTATATCTTCTAACAATATTTCTCACACTGTACCGCGATAAGTCTAACAAAGTTGCAATTTCTGAGTTTGATTTCCCAGAATTAAAAAATTTTATTATCAGTAACCGAATTTTCTCACTAATAACCTTTCCTCTACCCATTTTGAAAACCTTAACTACCCAAAACTATTTTAAACGTATTCTGACAGCTGTGATTAATAAAAGCAATTGTCATGGCTTTTATTTTTCACAGCCACCTATGCGTTAAGGACTAATTGAAATGAGTGACATGGTTTTCCACGATGTACATGTGATATAACATTTAAAAACATAAAATCTGTTTCAAAATGTTTCGCGAATACTTCATCGCCAGTAGGCGTGGGAATTAAGAAATATGTACTTAGAAAATCATAAACTTTAAACACATTTTTCAGACATCTGATCACTTTAGAACCTGATCAAGAAGTCATGACTTTATCTAAAAATGTTGCTTATACTTGTGATTTAAAGCGTCGCCAAATCAAATCATCCTCACTGTTTATATCATATCATTATATCAAAACATTGATTGAGTATAACTTCATGATGCAGTAGAAGTGAGAAGCAATGATTTTGTTAATACGTCAATTGTCAAGGAAGTATTGTAGTGATCCAATGTATACTTTATCTGAAGTCACTTGAAACACTGTGAAATACCGGGTGCGTTTTATATATCTATATTTAACACGCTCTGTTGCTGCAAAAATCGCCAAATTTCGCAGCAAATATCCCCCGTATAAGAGATCAAAGGCAGTTTCACCGATCCACGTGGAGTAAAGCACGCCTATGCGTGGACATAGCCAATGAGAAAGCGTGTATTTCAGAGCTCTGAACAAGTGCAGGTGGCTACTGAAAATTGAAACAGTTTAGCCCGTGCCGTGTAGCGGTGAATAAACGTGTTTTCTTTAGTCTGTCCGTGTTTTTTCATAGATTTTATTAGTTTGTGTGTTTTTGACTTTTGAATACTCAGTTTACTTGTTGATTTAATTGTTGTGTTGATTGTTCTTGTGTGTCCTAAATATGGCTCTTTGGAGACCTTGGGAAAATGCTCAAAGCCACGAGGAGATGGTTGATGAACCTGTGCAGGCAGAATTCTTTCATAAAGATTTAGAGGAACAGACCCAAAGAGTAATCCTAAATATGTATGATTGTCTGAAGAACGAAAATCCAGATTACTCGCAAAATCAAATTTTAAACAGAATTTGTATCCTGACAAAAACCAGTCGGTCTACCATTTATCGGATTATAAAAAGGGGAGATGTAGTCAACCATTCCTTCCACAGAAAGCGCATAGGGCAAAAATTAAAAAGAATAGACGTGGGTTTTCAGGAAGATATTCGTCGTATAATATACGGATTTTATAAAGAAAATTTGGTGCCCACGTTGGAAATGATACTCGATAAATTAAAAGATTATCCTGAAGATTTTTATAATTACAAATGCTTAGACTCACTGCACTGTATTGTAAAACTGTGTGGTTTTCAATACAAAAAATTATATAAAAGAATGGTGATTATGGAGTCATCTCGAATCGTTGAATTGCGCCAAGAATTTTTGCACAAAGTTAAAATCTATAGAGAGCAGAAAAGAAATCTGATTTACCTGGATGAAACGTGGTATGATACCCATGATGTTGTGCAGTACGGCTGGGTTGACGACAGCAACAAGTGCATTTTAAATGCACCATGCAACCGTGGAAAACGAATCATTATTCTCCATGCTGGCAGTGAAAATGGATTTATACCTAATGCCTTGCTGTTATCTGCCAAAAATATCAAAGAATCATGTGCCGACTATCATGAGGACATGACCTCCGACTTATTTGAAAAGTGGATAGAGCAGCAGTTAATACCAAACATTTCCCCAAATTCAGTGATTATTATGGACAATGCGCCATACCATTCCCGACAGAAAAACAAAATTCCGAATACAGGCACAAAAAACAAGACATTATTGATTTTATGAAGGATAAATGGAAATACCACAAAAATCAACCAAAGCCATATTATTGGATCTTATTAAAAGACAAAAATTTGAAAAAGAGTATGTTGTTGACAATCTGCTTCAGCAAAATGGCCATGAAGTATTACGTCTACCTCCCTATTACTGCATTTTTAACCCGATTGAGTTGGTGTGGGCTGCTTTAAAAAAAAAGTAAGAAAACATAATCAGACCCCTCAATTAAGTGAATCGCTATTGGCCACAATAAGAGATGCAGTATCTCATATTGCTGCCACAGACCTATGGAAGCAGTGTTCTAGGCAGATTATTGAAAAAGAAAATGAATATTGTGTTTTGCCTCCTGTAAATCCCGTTGTAATTCCTCTACAAGATGACTCTAGCGACAGCTCCGAAGGCGAGGATGATATATAAATACCTATAATGTAAGTCTTTATATACCTTTTTATATACCTACCTGCTATGTAAATATTTGCCTATGTCAAACTTTGGAATTCTGTAATTTTTCCATTTCTTAACTTTCACTCAACATAAATTAAACTCCCAATATAAGTATTTTTTATCCCAAATCAAAAAAATAAGATAGTAAAATCCATTTATTGTGATATAAAAACATTATTATTATCGTTCTAAATAAATGACCGCACGCCTATGATACGTCATGAAATTACAAAGGACGCGCCGACCAAAGGTTTTTATGCTATTTCAAGTGACTTCAGATAAAGTATACATCACAAAAGCCATGTCATTCGGTTCCATCGGTCTGTCTGTCGGTCTGCCTGTTTGTCGGCCTGTCGGTTTGTCCGCCGGTCTGTCTGTCTGCTAATCGTTGACCCCTCTATACTTTTGAAAGTACGTTTCGGATGTTTATGAAATTTTGACAAAGGTTATCACTACGCCAAAGATGAAAAAGTTTTTTGAAAATCGATATAGTGGAAGCGGAATTGCGTGCAAATAAAACTAAAATTTAAAATCGTTCTAACTTCGTTTTATGGCGTTTCACAGATTTTTGAAAAAAAAACAAGGGGTGAAAATTGGACATTGCGGGGAATGAGAAATTTTTAGCATTAATGTATTTCTCCGTTTTCAACCCCGATAACTTTACTGAGCTGTCAATTTTTTCATACATTTACCCCCAAGACTATCCAGATGGCTAGGTCCACTTATCTCAACTGTGATCGCAGCGTTGTCGGATGGATGGTTCATAGAACAGAAGAGAAATTTAAAACGGGTGAGGAGTGGGCTAATTATATCGTCTTATTTGACTGAATTTATTTTTATTTATACTTATTCATATACATGTGCTTAATTATTTTTTCTCGAAGAACTAACATAGCCTTTAATGAAATGATATCAGCGTTGCGTGGGAGTGCACAGTCAACCTACTTAACGCCATTTTTCATAGCATCTACTTTTAGAGCACAACTCCATTTGATTACAAAAACATTAATTCTAGTCCAAACAACCCATAAACCACTGTGAAATTAATAATAGGGATATAATTGGGGATGTCGCCACCATCGTTTCTACGGCAGCCGCAGTTTTACGATCGGTTTCGAACGATAATTTGCAAACCGTGACATCGCCAATGATATATTGTTAATCAATTTTTATATATTTGGGAGAGGCTAGCAACGGCGTCGCTCGCAATCGGTTGCGACAATCATTATAATGGCGTCGATAACATCAATGCCAGATTTATGGATTACACGATTGGAGTCGATAAAGGGTGCCATCTACTGGAAGTGCCTACCTGTTTGCTTTTACCAGCTTTCATTCTACTTGACCTGTCAGTAGGTAAGTTAGTGCTAGACTAATATTGAAACTGAATTTTGAACCAGTTAACTTCACCCAAATACTACCACTTTATATTATGTAATAGTCCAATATGATATGTTCATCAAATGAATGGGCTTGTTGAGAGAAACATATTGTAGCGTGTTTCTGGGTTCTTTTGGGTGTGGATTAAAACACTGGATTCCACAAAAAGAAATACACTAATTTATTTAACTTGATAGAACATTTATATACACCACTATTTATGTCTGACTAATTCTTATGTCGCTATTGACTGCACTATTACTCCACTCCGCTCTGCTACTCTACCGTATTCAGTGCTCTGCTTCCATCTCCCGGCCGCCGAGTTATTTATAGTCCCCATTGCTGCTTCGAGAAAGGTCTGGTGAGCCACAAAGCGGCATCTAGAATATTGGAGGTCAGTTCGCGTCGATCTAGAAGGCGATCCACTGTCTAGGTCCTCACAGACGCCGCCAAGCGGCTTGTGCGGTCGTGGTTCGCGTAAAAGCAGAGGTCGGCCATGAAGGTCTGGCGAGTAGGAGACTCGCCCAACAGATGGTGCCAACAGTACTATTTGTCACAATATTAAGTAGAGTGTCTATATTCTAAATTAAATTTGGCGGTCGCCGTAAAATGGCAATTTATAGTTTCCGTTGTTATCCTTATCATATGAGTGTCAAAGTGGGAGTGCTTGATGTGAGAAATATTATGAGCAAAGTGACGTCATTCTGAATTTGAAGGCGTCAGTAGCCCTATGATATGGCTATCTAAAAGTAAACGATCCTTACAGATATGTATACCGGCATACAGGCGGCAGCGGTGGCCGCAGTAGTAGACTCTTCAGTCTCCTGATCAGTCACCGTGCGCTGTGCGGGTTCGAGTCCCGTCCCAGGAGAAATTTTTCTCTTAGCTATGGATGTTGTGATTGTCCGTAGGTGGTAGACGGTCTCTGACTAAAAATATCGGCTATATCGTCCTATTTTGCCGATATATAAATCGTCCGATATGATACCTATTTGAGTCAATATACGTCAACCGATACAAATTATAAAGTTAATAAAGTCTAATATTATTGAATTGAGTTGGGAGTACCAAGCAGTCAACTATAGTGGTTTAGAGTTTACCTGTCAGGAGGAACACAGTGTTTCAGATATGCTGGTTCATTATCTAATTCCATCAGTGTCCTTTCAGGTGTACCCCAAGGTTCCCACATTGGTCCAGTTTCATTTAATTGAGTTGTTAACGATGCTGCAGAAGCTGAGTAGCAGTTATCGAGTTTTGTAGGTGATTTTTAAAGCATTCAGAATTTGAATAAATGCTACAAGATAAGCTTCAGCCGTAGTAGACTAATCATATTAGTCGAAAATACCCCAGGTTTGCGAAATAATTGTAAAGTCTGGTTTTATTGCTGCAAGTTGTTCAAGGGGGTATTTGAAACATGGACGCATAAAATGGGTGCACCAATTCTTATTGAAAAACAGAGAATGAGAAAACGTGTTTTTTGGGATTCAATCGAAAGTGCTGTCAGGAACGAAAAAACTCTACATACAAGGTTTTTAGGTAGCTATGGGATCTACAAAATGAGACCACACGTAAAAAGGTCAGACTAATAGCAAAAAGGTTATGGCCGAAAACCGAGGCAAACTGCAGGTTTTTTGGTCTCATTTTGAAGGTCTCAGAAATACCTAAATATTTTATCTGAAAAGTTTTTTCATTCATGTCAGTACTTTCGATTGAATCCCAAAAAACACGATTTCTCAATCTTTGTTGTCGAATAAAAAGTTTTCCCACAAAAATTGGTGTACCCATTTTACGCGATTATGTCGGAGAAATTTACTAATATGATTAGACTATAGTTCAAATTCTTTGACGTATGACTATAAAGCTGAAAACCGTGCCCTGATGAGAACTAACACAGTTAGAAATTTAGGTTTATCTTTCGATAAAACACACAGAGAAATTACTTCTAAATCGTATAAAATATTGGATGCATTTTTAGATCTAGCAAACATCTCTCTTAGGAGTACACAGTGGTATGGTCGCCAGATTTAATTGGTGACATTTACGCTATTAAAATAGCTCAAGGAGAATGTTTAAATCAGGCAGCTATTAAAATGGGTCAGTCAGAATGCTTCAGGAGTAATGAATACGTTAAACGTCGACTCCTTGAAACGTAAGTACCACTTATTGACACTTAATCTGTAAAAGCTGTATCTCATTTTCTATAAAAATTCTTTACTTCTTTGTCTATTTTTGTGGCTATGCTCCTTAACTCCGTGGAGTAATGAATATTAATATTCGAGAAAAATATTTTTTACAAGCTGTTCACGGTGTCAGCAACGGAATAATTCTATCAAATTTCCCCCGGGAATATCTCAGCGTGAGTCAATTTAAATGCGTTAAATTTTATTGCTTTATAGCAAAATTTTAAATTCATGAGAAATTACTTGGAAGTGCAAGAGATCGAAGAATCGGCGATGGAGTTTCTAGATGAGTAATTTTGTTCCACAACGAACTCTGTAACTTTTGTAGTCATTGGCGTATATACGGGGTCTGTAAATTAAGTAATGAAACTGGCTATTCCACTATCTGAGTTCAAGCACTACTTCGAGGAGTGGAAGAACCGTCTCCAGCGCTTTGTGGCTTCAGAAGGAAGTTATTTTGTGAGCAACAATAGAAAATTGCAATTATATCTGAATACAAAAGTCTCATTTATTATATTATTTACAGACCTCGTATTGAAATAGGGGAGATGAATTCTGCCTCTTCTGTTACATCATCTCGAGTAAGTAATCAAAATCAAAATCTCTTGTGCTGCATGGAAACCACGATTATATGTTCTGTCAATAACAAAGATTGAGTTAGACCTTTAGATCTTCAAACTTCATTTCCCGAATGAATGCAACAGATTGTTAATTTCGCACGGGTAGTTCGCCAACCGAGTTCACCTCAGATTTATACTCTAAACAGTTCATTTCGACAAAAACAAAAAAACAAATCACGAAGGATCTTGAATAACGATCTGCATGACTCGCGAAGCCTCTGTAGCATTTGGAAGACACTCACCGTACATCAAAATATAAAATACAGTGAAAGCTCTCCTTGCGGACAGCTCCTATAAGCGGACATCTCTTTTAACCGGACAAAGTTCCTGGAACCGAATTTCAGCCATCAATTTTCAATGTTAAATGCATTCCGATAAACGGACGCTCTTATAAACGGACGCGGACACTAGATTTTCCTGTATGTGATCAAAAAATCTCCCATAAGCGGACGCGAAACTCTAATACCCGGACGATTTTTTAGTTCCGCTTATTGCAATGCACATATCTACATACATAAAATTCGGTAATTCCCCGATTTATATTAGGTGATTCTCCATTTACGCATTTCGTTGGGTAGCCTGTATGTAATCTTGTGGCTTGTCTTCAGTTCAGGCAAATTCGTAGTTGATTGAGTTACGTATTTTATTATTGTAACTGTAAAATGGCACCAAAAAAAAGGATGCTCTCGTTAAAGGAAAAGATGGAAGTTGTTAACGTATTAGACAGAGAAAGTGTTTCAGTTCGTCATTTGGCAAAGAGGTTTAATATTGGGAAAACGCAAGCAGCTGAAATTGCCAAAAATAAGGAAGATATCAGGAGTAAATGGCAATCAGGAACTAATATAAATCAAAAGAAGGATTTTTTAAAAAAGGAAGGTTTTGCTATAGACAAAACATGTTTTGAGTGGTTTGTGAAAGCTAGAAGTCAGAACATTCCAATCTCAGGGCCGTTAGTGAAAATGAAAGCTAAAGAAATCGCCACTACTTTGGGCTATAATAATTTCAGTGCGTCCGACGGGTGGCTGCAAAAGTGGCGCAAGAGACATAGTGTGAGTTTCAAATGCATATCTGGCGAAGCTGCTGCAGTAGATCAAGTTGATGTGTCACAATTTTTGGAGCAACTTCCGTCCATGTTGCTTGGCTACAAACCAGAAGATGTGTACAACGCAGATGAGAGTGGACTTTTTTTTCGCGCATTGCCCGACAAAACTCTGTCCTTTAAAGGAGAAACATATATGTGGGTGGAAAATTGTCTAAAGATAGACTAACCATTTTATTCTGTGCAAATATGGCCGGTGAAAAATGCGATTTGATTGTGATCGGGAAAGCGGCTCGTCCCCGTGCTTTAAAAAACGTTGCTATTAAGGATCTACCAGCGACTTGGAAATCCAACAAAAAGGCATGGATGACCCGAGAAATCATGTCTGAGTGGTTAGTCGAATTCGACCGGAAAATGAGAATCCAAAAAAGGCAAGTTCTTTTATTTTTAGACAATGCATGCTCTCATCCTCGTGATATGAAAATGAAAAATGTGAAAATTATATTTTTACCGCCAAACACAACTTCTGTTTGTCAGCCCATGGATCAAGGTGTCATACAGAACTTTAAATTTTATTATCGGCACTTGATTTTAAAACATATTTTAAAAAAAATTGACGATGGTCAAAGCTTATCTGAGCTTACAAAGTATATCAATGTGTTAGAAGCTTTGTATTTTATAAAAACAGCATGAAATAAAGTAAATTCCTCTACAATTAAAAACTGTTTTGGCAAAGCTGGATTCAGAAAAAGTGAATGTAGCTCAGAATTTGCTGAACAAAATTATTGCGATGCTGAAGACGATCTGCCCTTAGCGACACTTGCTCAGTTACTGCGACATGCCAAACATTTAGGAGTAGCAGATCCCCAGAAAGTAGATGATTTCCTGGCCATAGACAATAACATAACAACAGAAGAAAATGCCATTGGCTACTTTTCGAATTTGGATGTAGAAAGCCCAGGCCAACTTGAATATGGTAGTCCAAACGACTCAGAAGAAGAAGTGGAACTGGTGGACTCACTAAGCGGTTCAAAAACGATAAATTCATATGGGGAAGCTCTAAATCATATTTCTATATTGAAAAAATTTGCTAAAGATGATTTCACTGCATTTCAACATTTGAAAAATTTAGAAAGTTATTACGAAAATTGTCTCCTTCAGCAAAAGATGGCGAAATTTCGTCAGACAAACATTTTAAACTTTTTTCAACAAGCTAAAGAATAATGTTTTTTTTAAATTCTCGTACCATGTATTGAAGCATTTATGTTTTTGTATGCGTATATGTACATATATTATATAGATATATAGCATAAATACATACTTTAAAAATGTGGCGAGTTTCTGTTTCATTTTTCTCATGATTATAATACCTCATTTCCTCATGATTATATACCCCGTTATTTATACTCTATACTTACATACTCTCTTTTAAACGGACACCTCCCATAAGCGGACAAAAGTTACGGAACCGTGAGTGTCCGCTTATGGGAGCTTTCACTGTAATATGGACATCTTCGATATTGTTGTATGTGCCATTTCTGTTATGTTTTTCAGAAACGATGTGTAAAGGTTTTGTTTGCCAACGCGGCCAGCGTCTGAATTAAGTACATGCTCATGCTAAATCTGATAGGATTAAGGCCGTATCAGGTTTTTTTATTTTACGGAGCCTAACGTCTCGGTAATCTTAAGACTTTGATGTATATGTTACTAGAAAAAACTGCTCAGTTTTTCATATGCCGTCGAAAGGAATGCCCCAACTTTGAGGACATCCTGTCTAGACACAGACGTTAAAGTAATAGCACCTCTCCCATAAAACTGAAATAAAGCTAAAGTCTGAGAATGTCATCCCACTCCCGATTCAATGAAAAACAAAAACCGGCCACCCTTAGCCATACGTGATCGCAGCTCGAAAAGTACAAATACGATGGTGACGATAATGATTGATAGCGCAATGGAGAGGGTCGCTCCCAGAAATGAAAACTTTCAATTTAGTGATTGGACGTAGCGAACGCACCATTACTCAGTTGACAGCACGCTTCCCACTTCACAATTCCGCTTCGAAAAAATAGCATCGTTTAAGCAACCTCCACTTTCCAGAGTGTTAGTCCATCAGGCATATTGAATCCCAATGATGGCGTCGCAATCGCAAAGTCGCACATTTCAGCTACGGCATTTGTTCACTTATGCTTCAGGTGAAGTAGGTCGTCCCTCGTGTGAAATCATCATTGGTTACTCCATTTTCTGGATAGTTTTGTCTATTAATATCTAAATATTCTATATGGAGAAACAGCTTTGTCAGCTCACTACAAAGTGCAGGCAGCAGCGGTGGCCGCAGTAGTAGACTCTTCGGTCTCCTGATCAGTCGCCGTGCGCTGTGCGGGTTCGAATCCCGTCCCCCGTCCCAGGAGAAATTTTTCTCTTGGCTTTGGATGTTGTGATTGTCCGTAGGTGGTAGACGGTCTCTGACTGTCGAACGCGGAGGTACCACCCGGCGGATCTCGTAGGCGGAGCCAGAATGTGTGCATGTTGCATGCACACGTGTTCCCTCGCCAGAGTCCTTGTGGCGTTCCCCCTTTTCCCCTGTATCCCCCTATAGCCCCACAGTACCCATGAAAAGACAATATAGATCCTAGATTGCTCTATACTGGAGTAGCCGCGAAGACATAACCTAAGCACCGAGGTGCCATGCCAAGATTGGAGAAAGCCTGTTCTGGTACGATTTTTCATATTATTCATATCCAAGGGCAGTGGTCGCTAATCTTTTCAGTGTGCAGTGAGCTCCTAGTCGTAAGCAATGTAAGCCAACTTAAATGAAATTATACGGGTATTTCTCAACAAATTTAGTAATTTCATTTTGCATTTCTTAAATAAAAATAGCGAAAATATATCATTTTTTTGCAGAAATATATATAGTTTAGTGAGGTTTATTGAAAATCGATATTTTTGTGTATAACATGTATAAAAATGACTTTCAAGAAACTATGAAATGAGTGAATGACTGATAGGATGAGGGAATGATTTTTACAATAATTTGATACTGAATTTTAATAAGAAACATAAGTTAATTTATTAATATTGTATTGAAATTTGTTTTATACTTCAGAGAGCTTAGGTAGTCCTTCTTCCCTGGGCACATCTTTGTATGTTCATTCTTCTCTAAGAAATGAACAACATCACCCTAGCTTTCAGCATTTTGGAGCGAACTTTACGAGTACAGGTCTTTTTGTACGTATCGTTTTTGAAAAGATGTTTCGATCTATACAGCAATTTGAATCGTTTGTACTAATTGCAGCTTCAACATTTTGTAATATTTTTTCCTTTCTCCATGTATACTTCCGAGATCTTCATAGATATTCCTGAGGTCCGTTGACAGGCTTCTCCGAAAATGAGTCTTTTTCTTACAACGGCAGGAACTTGTATATTCTTTAAAAGCGAAGGCTTTTTAGTTGCTGGAGAGTTTGGGCCAGTATTTTTAGTTGTCAATCTCAACCACCTCTTCTTATATGTTTCGATAAGCTTGGCTGTGTTCCTTACTTTATTTTCCAAACTTATATTCTTCGCGTACAGAATATTTCGCCACTTGCACATTCTACGTCTATTGAGAGCAGACAAATTCTCTGCTCTGTGGTGTAAAGATGGTGCAGGACTTGGTTGGGGTGTTTCTTCAACTATTCTCTGTAAATTTGTTTGTAATGTAACTCGCTTTTCCCTATAAACTTTACTATTCTTTTTCCATTGTTTTCGTTTTTGTCTAGTTTCTCTTGCACTCACAGAAGTTATTGACTTAACTTGACCTTTACTCTTCTTTTTTAAATACTTTAATCTTTCTTTTCCACGCTAGGCTTCTGAAGAATCGGCATTTATTTTCATTTGTTCTCGACTATAAATTTTTTCTCTTCACTTAACTTCTTCATTTTACCCATTCTTGATATACGGATATCTCTTAAAATTGAAAACACATGCTATACAACCTGGAGTTAAACAATAATACCCAAACTACAATTTTATATATGCAAATATCATTCCCTCATATAATTATCATTGCCTCACTCTCTAATATAGTGAGGGAATGACCTTGAAAGAATGACGAATTTGCATAAGCGATACCGTAATCAACACTACATTACCTCAAATTGATTTAGCATTTTGTGAATGCATTTTACTCCCAAAAACAAGAAAAAAATCATTAAATCATTCGAACAATATAATGACGACTTACCTTTTAATATAAACAGTGAGTCAATGACACAGAGAATGTTCTTATTATTAGAATCCAATACTTTTTTGCAGCAACTCTTTTTACTATTAAGAAATTTCGCCATGTTGACATTATTAGCAGGATTGCCAAGTTTCAAAAACATAACAGCTGCGTGCTAAAATATCAAATTGTGTGACCACAAATCGAATATTCGTACATAGTTTAAATAGATTTTTTCATATACATATCTGTTTTTTAACAATGAAGGCTTGACTTTACAATCCATACTTATTACCAAATATTTAAGTAATATTCAATTTATAAGAATATGAACAGATTTGATTGTATATATATTTTTTTATTATTAATTTCAGACCCAGGGACGAGATGAGCGAATGACTTTAGACTAATAAATTAATCGTATTTTTTTGTGTCAATATATTATCTAAATTTTTGCTTTTAAAATATTAGTTTAGATACTTATCACTGGCAGGTTTAGAGGGAGGGCGCAACCCCCCCCCCCCTCCCCTAGACATTTACTTTTGCAATCTAGCACCATTGGGTTACTTCCTGTCATGGCTATATCTATTGATATTTTTATCACCTGCTGATATAATATCAAAATAACATTGTTTCTAAAGGCATTGTCTGTTGTCCAATTAACTGATTTTTTTTATTGTTTCAGTTTGTCCGTTCTGGTTGCAGAACGTAATGAGAACGATATTTCAAAATTCGAATGTACAATTTTATAGTGCCTCTTGATATTCCCCTTTTTAGCAACGGAAACAGTTGTATTACATAACAAACATACATGTTTACCTTTAACTTCTGTAAAGAAATATAATATACCAAATGGAAATGGTGTGTCTTCATCTTCTTACTACTGCTCATAATATCTTCAATTGCAGGCCAACTCTAACCCAACCGCCGGACTTTGTGCCGTTAAGTTTCAAACTGAGCGCACTGCCGCCTTGCGTAATTATTCCGTTCAAAGTAATCTAGATCGTTCTCGAACAGATCGCTCACCGCAGTGTTGTCGTTGCTTGTATTTATTATGAGAATTTACAAAATTTACGGAAGCTCCTTTGATTTTTACACCTTTTTAAAATATGTTTTGAGCCAACAGAATTGCCTTTAAGAGCTACCGGTAGCTCGTGATCGACGAGTTAGCAACCACTGTTCTAGGGCCAAAGGAATGCTTGTAACAGCCAGCTCTCGATGTGCAGGTTATCCCGCTATAAATTGAACTCCTCTCTAATTTTTTGGTATGGCCCCTTAGTATTAATAATAATATTAAATGTCTTTATTAGCAACACAACAATAGGGCGAAGTTTAGCCAGTTGGCTACTCTTACACCAACCCTATTGTATGATTAAATATGTATATACAATTCAAAGTCACATACATGCAACCTAAAATAAATTAATCGATCTGGCTTTCAACTAAGTGAGCTAGTAATAAAGGGGAAAACAGTCAATCGATAAATCCGCGCTATATTGGTTTACCAAAAAGGAAACAGTCAAGAACCAATACTGAACGGTTGACAACACAAAAAAAAAGCATAAAGATAATAACAACTAATTATGATACATCTAACAGCTAATGTTAAACCAGCTTCCTGAATGTTACTACAATTTGGCTCCTCCAGGCAGGGTCGGTTGAGTTGTTTAACCTCACAGCATTGAAAGTGAAACAATTTTGAAACAATGCGGTATAGTGCAAAGGCATTGTCAGATTATTATTATGCCTTAGATCTCTAAGATTAATGATTCCTCTAGTTACCAATTTACGATGGAGGTAGATGGGCTTTTTAGCACACAATATCTTATGCACAAATACCTTAAGTCTATATTCAAATTGTTGATCCAGTTTCAGCCATTTCAACTCCTTGATCTTAGAGGAGACATGACTATATTTTCGGAGACCATACACAAACCTACAGCAGTTGTTTTGCATTCTTTGGATCCTACACTGATTCATCGAATCAAGACAACGATAGTAGTACGAAACAACTCAATAGTGCATACTTTGCAATCTTGAAACTCAAACAAAACATCTCCCAAACAGCTCTTATAGATATCTACTACGCCTTGGCTTACCCGCATCTTAGCAATAATATAATACTATGGGGACAAGCAGTCATGAACAACAGAGTCTTCATCTTGCAGAAAAGAGTACTCAGGCTGATTTCCAATATCAACAAAAGAGACTCTTATAAAGATATTTTCAGAACATATAATCTGCTAACATTAATATCCATCTATATATATATATATATATAAATGCGCTCTCTTCGCATTTAAACATAGGACCAGTTTTATTCAAAACAACACAGTTAACATGCACTACAACACCAGAATAGGTTTTGACTTAAGTATACCAGTCCACGCAACAGCCCAGTTTCAGAAATCACCACTCTATTCCTGTACAAAAATTTACAATAAACTACCAATTGAGTTCCGCAGAAGCACTAATATGTTGACATTAAAGAAACGTCTGAGAAGATATCTATCAGAAAAGTGTTACTACACCGTCGACGAATACCTAACTGCTTAATTTTATTTATTTATTCTTTTTATTTATTTATTAAGCTTAACGGAAAAGAAACAGTCTATTTATTGCTCCTCTTCTAGACATTTTAAGTGCTCAATTGTTTTTATTTATTTAAAATTGATTTTTTTTTCATGTTCGTTAGATGTCATTAAGAATTTGTTTGTGTTTGTAATGACTCCTATTTTATTTATTTATTTGTTTATTATTTATTATCTCAATTACTGTTTTAATTAACTACCTGTTTTTTTTGCATATCGCATACTTATGTATTGTATATGTAATGTTGGCAAGTCTTATGTCATAGCTATTTATGACCAAAAGAGAATAAAGACTATCTATCTATCTATAAGGTTATAGCGTAGTTGAGGCTGGACATTATCAAACTTTCAACTAGCTTCTTACGCGTTTTAAAGTTCAAAATGAATCTATTAGCATATAGCAAACTTAATTTGATGTAGGTGGACTTCGATAGATGACACACATGTTTGTCAAATCTTAAACTAGATTTGAAGATGACACCAAGACGTTTTAATCTTCAGCATGTGCCTTTTACAAAAATCAGTGATGTTGGTCAAATCACAATTTATCTTATATGACACTTCGTCGAGATGAGGCAAGTCAAAATGAAAAGAAAGCTGCGTATTATCTGCGAAAGTTTGTATAGCACAATGCTCAATACATGAATGTGAATCAAAAGTATATATCAAATACAGCAAAGGACCAAAGACAGAGTCTTGAGGGACACCTGAAGAAACGGCAACAGAAGATGAGACACCTCTAACTGTCTTCGCCTTTTGTTTACGAAATAAGGTTCTATTCAAAAGT